ATGAAATACGATAAATATAAGCTATATATATTAATTACGAGATTAACCTCTGATAACGAGGTCGGGATTTTAATTACACTTGAAAATAATTTCGAGAATTTATTACAAAGAGAGGGGAGTAAATGAAGAGAGAGAATTATTAGGCAGAGATTCAACAATCCCCAATGAATGAGAGAGGTCTTCTATTTATAGTAGCCTTAAATTCGACACTGTTCATCCTGTCTCGTCGTACAGTAATTCTGCAGGGCAGGTCGGCGCCGTTCTGACAAATATTAAATGCGATTTGAGGTTTCTCTAATTATTACCTGTCAGGCATTAAATGCTCTCATGTAGAGCATTTAAATGCCGACAGGCCTTTGTGTCGGGCTAGCCTCTCTAGGGTGACAGGCTATGGAGGCGCATCCCATCGACAATCATTAGATGACAAGTGGCAATATTTTATCAGTTCTTGGTCTCCGCAGGCGTCCAGGAGCTGACTTCGAGAAACCTTCAGGTCAGATTCTCTTCATTAATTCGTTCTCTAACCCACAAACCACAAACAAACACAACTATACAAACAAACACAGACACAAAACACACACCTAAAAGCTAGAAAAACTAATACAATAAAAATAAAGCCCTCCGACAACTCTAAAAACCCTCCACACGAAGACAACACCTGAGACGACCCCCCAAAAACAACAAGTCCACGGCCTTAATCACAGACCTAGAAACTCCCATCTCTCAAGTTGTGGCTAAGGCTGACTAGATCTGGAATGACGGAACCGAATCCCCCTTCCTCAGGCATCACACACCTTGAGATCGACCACCAACCTCTCCCAACACTACACTGGCGAACCCAGCCCCACAACACCGAAGATGAAAAGGCTCCCGCATGAGGGGACCGCCCATCCCCATCCTAGAGAAATGGACCAACCCAAGGGAAAAAACGACTGGCCTTAGCACCAGCTACCGAAAGGTTGATAAAAGGAGCCCTCGAAACCGTCGTCGTCAACCAACCGTCAACAAATCCTGCGAAAGTCGCCCTCCGAGTGGAAGGATCCGTGTAGGGAGATGTGACCGAGAACTAGCAGCAACAAAGGTTCCACCCAGGTGCCAGTCATCTCCATGGAGAGGCAGAGTGCACGATGGTGGTGAAGGGTCGCAGAGAAGAAGGCAAGAATGAGGGTTTGTTAATTCGGGTTTGTTTAGGAGTGCGGCTTCAAACATGAGAAAAATTGCGGGATCTGAATATTATGTATATCACTTATCGTCATTGTACATGTCTATTTCGCTAGCACATAATCAACAAAATAGGACATAAGCAGAATCACCCTTAGTTTTTGGAATAAGGTGTATCATATTGTGCTCGTGTACATATGTGAGTTGTAATGCAATTCTATGAAAAAGAAAATGTGCATCATTTGTACTCGTTGCATCGACGCTAGTGGATCTCAGCCCGTTTGAGAACGCAACAAGGAGGACGTGACATTGATATGGCTGCAACACCGTGCGAGCATGAGAGATTTGTCCATTATGCCGTATTGTCTAATCTTTTTTTTTTTTTTTAAAGAAACGATAGGGATATTATATATAACGCACAAAGGTGCAGAATGCAGCTACAAGCTGATCACAACCAGCCAACAGCTGAGTACAAGCAGCCAATAGCTAAAAACTGGGAGAACAGGACAAATGCCTGCCTAGAACCGACCCCAACGGGGTAAACTCAAGAACACTAACAAAAAACACCAACTAACAACACAAAGGCCTCATTAGGGCCATTCCCGAGTGTCGGACTCCAACAGAGTAATGAAAATGACACTCGGGCACACAGGGGCCAACGACCCAAACCTAAAACACGACCTAATCAACACAACAACACAAAACATAACAGAGCCAAACAACTCCATGTCACCCAGAGACGAAGACACCTGGCCAACCCAACAAGGTAATACAAACTAACACAAACATACCAGATATCACACAAAAGCACAAACTAAGAGCAAAACAAAACAACACAAAATAAACAAGCCCCTCCTAAGAAGCAACAACGATCCAAACCATCGGAAACCAGTCAACCACAGATCCCAAAGCTAGAAGCATCAACTCTGAAACTGCCAAACCCACTCGGGTGCCTAACAAAGACGAAACCCCAACTCCGAAACCACAGCAGGCCAACAAGCACCACGACCCACAACACCCAAGTGCCCCAAACAGGCAAAAGAATGCCCCGGCCCGGTCCCGACCCCGAAACCGCCTGGGAGCTACCCGACCACCACCAATACGCCGCAACAACACTCCAACCAGTCTTGCTGAAGGAAGAACTGTCATCGCAGCAGCCCCCATCGACCCGTAAAACGAGAAAAAAGAGAGATGGCCGTGAGTACCTTCACCGCTTAGGCCGCCCAGCAGAATCGCCGAGAAAGCAAGCAGTGTCCCGCCCCAGGAACCGCACAACGGCTCCACCACCACATGAGCTAGCAGCCCCTGACCGGAATTAACGAGCGGTCGCCGGAAAAAGAAAACCCACTCGCGGCCGAAGAGAGCTGGAGCCATGGAAAATGGGTAGTGAAGCGGTAAAGAAGGGGCGGGAACCAGACAATTGTGGGCCAGCAACCTCCGGCTAAGCTCGATGCCAGCAGAGGAGGGCGAAGCTGCTGCAAATTGAAGACGACGCTGAGTTTTTTTTTCTAATCTTGGTTCCTTCATAATATGATAAGTTTTCTAATTCATATCATATAATGATTTTATAGATTGTATATTTTAATTGATATCTAATTTTATTATTTTTAAATTAATTGTACCAGGTAATTTAATTTTTTACAATAAACATATATAAAAGTTATTTACTTATATATACTATATAGATGTTACATTACTTATATATACTATATAGATGTTAAATCAAAAGTCGTTAATAGATAATTAATTTGATACGATCAGATATGTATAATTGCCATATGATTTGATACATATGGCACGATCAAAATGTACAAGTGACGAATGTCATTATAAATATAACTAATAATGCAATCATTTTATGAAAGTATTTGAATTTAAATAAGAAACTTTTTTTTTTAATTCTTTTTCAATTAGATTTTTTTTGTACTAATACACGTGTAATCCACGGGGATGGAGTTGTACTAGTATGGTATATTCAAACTGGTTGAATTAATATAAGAGTGTTTAATTTGTATTTCAATGTTTTATGGCTAATCTCGGTCAAAAATCGGGGTTATAATTTATGATTTTTATTCTTATTATTATTGGTGTAAAAAACTTTGACGTTTTCATGTGCTCAATTTTGATTAAATGAGAGACCCCATTTTCCGTGTTTTTGGGTTCGACAGCTTCCAGAAAATTGAGTTAGCTCCCCATTTTTTGCGAGTCATCAAATCTGATTCCAACTGTACACTCCAAATTTGGTGATGATAACTGCGTTGAAAATTTTGACAAAAAGGCGATAAGTATTGGGAGAGACTGTAAACACATGGGACTCTATTTTTGAGGCCTATGTATGTATTGTATTTTGCTGACAGTCATCTTTTTCGCTTGTTGCCTTTTGGAAATTGCGCGAACACTGGAGAAAGAAACGTAATCTTACGTGAAACACCAATGTGAGATTTGAGGTCTTTTTAATTTTTTTTTTCTTTTTCCTTTTTGAGTTTATGTGGGTTACTGATTCTGGTCCCAACAGAGTTTGGGTAATTTCAATATTTTAATTTTCAGTGTTTTTAGGATCTTGGGTTTGATCTGAAGAGAAACATATTCATCTGGGTGGAGGCTTTTTCTTCCTATTTCACTTATTTGAAGTGACGTGGGCGAAGGAGGTTCACCTGATTTCTGGAATCTAGAGAAAGAGTGGAAGTATTGGGGGTTACTCGCAAGATTTTGTTTTGATCCATCGCTTGAGGCAGCATAATTAGTTTGATGGTGAGGAAATCAATTCATGATTTTGTATGAGTTAAATATTTGTTTGATGATTGTGTGAGAGCTTGAGTAGATTTTGGATATGGCAATGCATCTCTGTTTTTGAAGTGTTAATCCTGATGATGAGGTGATGTAGAGAAGATGGTTTAATGAAAAGGTTGGAATATGTCATCTGAATCTCCATCCCCAAATACTCCTCCATCTACTCCCACCACCCCACCACCGGCTGCCAATTCCCCACCTCCACCTCAGCCCATATCACCTCCACCTCAGCCCATATCACCTCCACCCACCGTCCCGC